CGGCAGAAATGAAATAATGAGTGCTTGTTGAACCATTGATTCTAATAAAGGCTAAATGCATTTGTTTTTGTTTACAATAATCTTGGTTTCTTAATGTACTGAATTTCGAATTTTGTCTTAGCTGATCGACCACCACGTCGCTTATACAGACGCTCCGATGATCATGACGTGGAATTTAACGTGTCTTGTAGTCCAGATCAACATTCGGACGGGAATGTGGTAATTGCCGATACGACAGTCGAAGCCGCCAGCTTAAGGCCTAGTTCAGATCATTCAACGGTCACTTTACCTGAACATCAACAAACTGATGCAACCGAGTCTTCTATCGTCGATGATGTAGACGGTCATAAAACTGTTAGTCAGTCTATTCAGTGCGGCCTTTGTGAAGATGATGGTATTCAACAGCAGCAGTGTGTTGTGAGCTGTTCAGCAGAAACTCTCCCTCCCGAAGTAGTCGATACTCGCCGTCATGTTAGGCCAATTGCGCAGGATGCGAATACTGGTTTGTCACAGATTCTTTCTGATATTGGAGAAGACGAATTTACGAATGAATATCGCCCCAGGATACCTGGTTTCAATGCATCCACTCTTGAACCACTGCGTTTAGAATTCACCGAACAGACAGATCTACAGGACTTTCTGATGAAGTTCGATATTTGCGCAAAACTTGCTCTGGAATATCACGCCTCCTTTGAGACCGTGCTAAAAGTGACTAATCTCATGCGGCGTACAGACTTAATTGTCACGTGTCTGGATGACTTAAAAAAGTTATTTTCCGTTTCAAAGTAAATTTTAACCTAAGTTTAAATCTACACTGAACTTTACTTTAATTTTATAAATTGTGTTGATAAGATATGAGAGATATTGACAAATTAAACGAATTATTTCATTTTTTAATGGCACAGTGCATCACAGCAAAAACTGAATTAATGAACAAACAAGCACAATTTTAAAGCGATCAAAAAACGTGTTCAGCTTAAGGAAAGTGTACTGTGGTTACCTGTGTAACTTCACGCTAATTTTGAGCCCGCCAAGAAGCAACTTCATTTTTTAGGCGACAGTATTCTGGACCCTGTCCTTTGAAACAATACTGATCGGGACAAAATAAATGTCCGTTTCTGGAAATGAATCCAGTTCAGAGTAGCCGTTCAGATATTTTGCTGACCTTGATCGTGTATATGATATTGTCCTCTGGAATGATATGTGAAACAAATTTCAGTGCGTCGCTCTGCCAAAGCTAGTAATTAGCGCGACAGGGTAAACTGTTTCGTCAGCAGCTTCGACCAGTAGGCCAAATGCAACAAAAGTTCACAAGGCAGAACCATATCTGCGTGCGTAAGAAATTTTTCTATCCACCATGCTGTAACCACTTCTCTGTGGCGAAAGGGTTGAGAAGTAGAGAATGCAGTAGACGTCACATTTAATAGAGACGCTGGACTAATAGAAAAGAAAAGGCCCAAGATGACTATCACAGATTTATACTGTCTAAATTATACATAAAAATTATCCTCTATACTCTTGGGCTACTACCGAATAGCTTTTGTGAGAGTCTGAATTTTTCTCAATTCTGTTCAACTCCACCATATCATATATTTCAAAATCCAGAAAAATCCAAAATTTTTAACAATCTTGGTCCCAAGCATTTTGGATTAGGGATAATCAAACTGTATTAGAATTAGAATCGTGGAAAGTTGATCAGTTCAATTACAGGATGAGGTTAAAAAATATTGTCTGAGCAGCGTACGCACAATCGACTGAAATTGCCTTTCTGAAACGAATCCAAAGACTCATGTGTCTGGATAGAATCCGATGTTCAGATATCCGAGGAAACAGCCATCGCTACTTAAGATTACAAAATCATAGCTGTGACGGTTTGGGTCCATTTTGCAAATACTTTCAAAAAGGAAGAGGAACCACTCGAACCACCTATTAGTGCTGCGGGAAGGGGGAGCAAGAATGGCCCAGAGCAAATTCATAGACATAGACTTTGTTCTAGACTTGGACTATCTTTTGCGAAACTTCGAGCACTGACAAAATATCGGTAATGTTGGAGACATTGCTTGACGCTGGTACTTTCGCGTTCGCAAAACATACGATGATTGAAAATGAATGACTGACTGACGTGGATAAAAACTGCTGGAGACAAAATTTGGCGGATAAATGGTGGAGACAGTAACAATAGAACGGAAAAGGCTGATGATGGTCACGAATCTTAACCGCTGCATTGAAAACCGACAAGAAACCTAAGGAAAGTGAAAACGATCCCTCAAATGTAACGTTCGTTTACATTCTGTGCCAAAAGCTTCAGGAGCCGCTGCAATTCTTTCCGATGCGCTATCTTCATTAACATCTGATGAGAACCTTAAGACTATACATTTCCATGACTAAAGCGATATTTTTCAATTTTCACTACCAGCAACAAATACGAGATTCTTCTTTACCAAACAGAAGATCAAGCTTGCTAATTTGTTGTCTTCGGAATTTCATAGGTCTCGCACGACGGGTTTCCATTTTAGACCGTAACATAGGAATAAAGCATAATATTTTACAACATCGATAATCATCCTTATTAAATACCAAATCATTATCCTTTGACGTTCAATTAGCGGAAGTTTACAAAAACCGGGAGAAAGAACGAACAGTGTAATGCTTGAATAATTGCCAATGTATACTACTAGGACAAGCGAACTCAAACACTGGAAAGACAGAAGTGAAACATGGCAACAACAAAGTGAAACAAGCAAAAAATTGTGGATGAATAGATACAAACATAAGGTACAATTAGTAGCTGGGATAATTTGTTCTTTTGATGCCTGCAGATCGTAGACAATCCATACACAAAATGCCTGTGGGAAAGTGAACGCTGATGATGGAATAACCGTTTTCTGATAGCATAACGTATCAAAGTGTTTCCAGTCAGGCA